CGACCCGTGGCATGCAGACAACCAGTGATCACGCAGCTGCAGCTTCTGAGGCGCCTGTCATGATTTCACCGAGGATGATTCGTACAATAACTTTTCCTACCCTCACTCCCTCCGTAGTTTTCCTATGCAGGCCTGGTTTTACCACAGCTTTCCACCAACATGCCCACCATCATCTTCGGACATTGGCTCAGCTTACTCCGCAGACCAACACGCTCAGTTTCACTTCGCACAACGAAAAAACAGCGCGTTTCAGTGGACAGTCAGACACTAACCATGGTTTTGGATCCACATGGAAAACCTCTCTTGTTTTTTGCCGCATTCCTGTTTTCTCAGCTGTTTTCGGGGTTTTTCCTCTTTTGGCCCCTCCGTTTCCGACAGCATGACTGTTTTAACGCCACTGTTGCTCCCTCATTTGACTTTCCCCGACCTGTTCTCGCATGTTCAGCTTGCTCAAATCGACAACCGGTGCTCCACGCCCACGATCCAGTGATACTTCGCCCAGCCACCATGGACGCGCAGTGGCAGCAATACTACTGGAATCATTATTTGATGCAGCAACATCATCAGCAGCTCACCAACCCAGATACCACAACTTCTCCTCCCACCACCGCACACCACGCCTACAGCCCCACAGGCACCTACGGCCCACTCACTCACGCACTTCGTACACACCACGTCCACCACTCCAACCCGTATGTGACCCCACCGTACACACCGCCATCGCAGCATACACCCCCACCCCAGGCATCCACCTCACAGCCGGAGTTTCCACCTCCGCCACCGCCACCCCTGCCAACGGCCGAACCCGTCACTCCACCACCATCGACTTTCCAACACAGCCCACCGCCACCACCCACCACACGTGGCAACACAGCGCCTGCCCCACCACCCCCACACATCCCATCCCCCACACCACCTGTTCCCGACTCCTGGAACCCAACCGAGCAACATTGGGACTCCAACACCCTGCACGGCCACCAACTACATCGTACAATCCAACCCACCCAGTGGTCTCGAAAAGCAGGTGTGGCAGGACTCCCCACCTTTGAGGTTTTCCCGTGGCAATTGGCTTACCACGGTACCTCCGAGTTCACCGCCCGTACCCTGAGCAACGGCAAATTCACAGGTTTTATTGCCACCGACCCATTTTCTCCAACAACTCCGTGAGAACCGCCTTGACCTTGACGGCATCGCGGAGGCCCTCCACACCCAACAGAGCACAGACATTCCCAACAAAACCACCCATGCCCGAGCGTTTCACGCTCCCCTCATCAAACTGCTTATTGACCAACTGCAAACCCACTCTCCAGCACCTGCGGAAGGCTCCGCTCTACGCGCCCTCAAAAACACCAACGACGAACTGGCTCGTGCACGTCAGAAACTCCAAGACCTGGGCAACCCACTCACACCAGTCAAGAACACCAGCCGATCTTCCGCACCAGCCGCCCCATCTCACGCACCCACTCCACCACCACCGAAACCACCAGCCCTCACCGACGTCTTGCAACCACCACACCCCACGCTGCAAGACGATATCCCCGAAGGCTGGAACCACCCAGAGATCCAACAATGGGTCACTACTTTCGACCCCACCATCCAAGAAGCTGCGAAGGACGTCATCCGTCTGCTGCAAACAAGCAAAGTCACCACGCAGCAGCTAAAAGAAGCAGCCACCAAGTATGGCCTACCCCTCAACCGGGTCAACCGACTCCCCATTCGCAGCCTACAACAGCTGGTGGGAGTTGGAGCAGCCATCGGTTGCTGACTCGCCATTCTGGCCCAGCAGCAACCCAGCCACACCAACCTCACCCAACTCTTCCACCTGCACAGAGCACTTTCTATCCTCATCCACCGCGCCCAATACATCGACCGTGCCGAGGCCATCTTTGCAACCGGCCTTCTCCATATCACCCTCCTTTTCGCATACCCTTCCAACACCCGTCGCTCACAACAATGGCGCAACCGCCTCCGCCAGCTCCACATTTTGCCCCACACCTACCACTACCACAACTTCCTCTCCTCCAATTCAGTCTACATCAAGCTCCACTTCAATCCCGACCAGCCCCAACGCTGCTACCATCAGCATGGCCACTTCTATGTTGGCTCCACAGCTATTGGCATCCCCCACCGCGAGCATAATCGCCGCGCCAAACTCAAACAACTCCAAAATAACATTCCCATTTCTGCAGAACTCTCCCTACGTTATTGGCATTCACATAACAACATCCACCACTACACCACTATTCAACTTACCTCCCATGACACATACGACCAAGCCTGGATCCAAGAGCACCATTACATCGCAAACTGGATGCCTCCGCTCAACTGGCCTTTCATTTCCCACCACCTCAAACTCAAAGCTCAGGGATGGCAGTTCGCGAAACACAGAGCCCACTTCTACTCCAGATTAGCCACCCACAAACGACTTTTCCGACGCCTTCGACAACGCCAGTACACCCTCAGAGAACCACACCTCTACACCTCCACTAAGCATCACGCCCTCCAACTTCTTCGCAACCTTACCAAACACACCGCAGCCTCCTTTGAAGCAGCTAAGGAGCTACGAAGCGGACGCCACACGGACCTCGAAGTCTATGCAATCCGGCGCATGGCCGCAAACCTGGAAGAACCCGGCCGCAGCCGAGCCCTCCACATCCTCAACAAAGCCTTGATCTACCGCAACCTCACGCCACCAAAACCAAACATCCCACTGACAGTGCCCTTCTTGGCCCATGACGACTTTACCAAGCACTGCCAACAGTGGCTTCGTACTACCATCCAGCAGCACAAGCATTTCACCATTCCCCTCCACCTCCCCTCCCACAGACTGCGAGAAGCCGCCCACAAAACCCTCCGCTCTCACCTGCACAACCACCGCACATGGGAAGACACCCTCCACTCCCCACCAGATCCAGCAGACCTTCCCTGTGCATGCGATCACCTGCGCACCCTCTTGCAGGATCCCGATACCCCTACCATCAACGGCCACTACATCCTTACACTTGACCAACTCCAACTCCCTACACACCTCGGCATTTTTCTCAACGCCAATATGAACAGCACCTATTACCCAAGCAAAGCTCGCTACTTCCTCATTTTCAAGACGGCCTACACCAAATGGCTCAAACTACAAGGGCTTCCACCATCCCTTGTTCAGCATCTACAACCCTTCCTTGAGCACCAATGGCGCCTTCATAACACACACCTCAAGCAGCAACCCCGTTTTACGGCCCGCCTGCTTCGTCAACTGCAAGAACATTTGGGCAAACACACATTACTCCACCATGCCGATCATGAGCTCCAACAACTTCGGCTGTTTTGCCCTCGACAATACTTCACTGGAGCCTTGAACACCTGGCAATCCCCCGAACTTTTCGAACCACTTCCCTACATCACTGCCGCCAACATCCACGACCACCTGGCCGCCACAGTCCCCTCCATCCTGCGCACCCGCTACAAGTGGGGCTTCCGAAAAGACTTCAACATCCCCTACGGGGTTGTCCACCTCAAAGAGAAGAAGCACTGGCAAAAAGGCCGTACAATCATATCATACTTCCAATCACTAAGTGGCAACCTGCTACGCATCACCAGCCGTGCCCTTGACATTATCCTCCAACACCTCTACCCTCAACATCCAGGCCAAATGTCCATTCCCCAGCTTTGGCACCACTTTCACAGTTACCTCACCCAAACCCCACCAGACATCTCACTACACGCCACCAACGATGACCTGGTCGGCTTTTTCAACTCCGTCCCCCAGCACCGACTCATCGATGCAGTCCACTCCCTCGTCCACCACTGGCAACAACAGCAATCCACACACACCCTAACGGTGGATGTCCAGGCCACCGGCAATCCTTCCACCACTCACACATTGGCAGACACCATCGGAAACACCCTACTCAACGCACCATCCAGACTTCCGACATCACCACCATCGTGGCTTTCGCCCTCAACACATGCGTTTTCCGGGCTTGCAACAACACTTACAAACAAATCCGAGGAGCCGGGATTGGATCCCAGCTCTCTCCAGCCCTATGCAACGTTGCCATCACTCTCATTGAGCACTCCTGGCATCAGATCCACAACAACCTCCTTCAACACACAGACCTCCACTTTACTTACTATCGCTATGTCGACAACCGCTTCATTGTCCACAACGAACATTTCCTTCAACACCCGGCTATCCAAACCCTTATCCACCACAATTTCTTTGGCGACCCTGTGGAACTAGAACCGGTGGAGGATTTCCATCTCCTCGGTTTCAACATCGACCTCCCACAACGCACCATCAACTACATGCAACCTTCTCAACCCTGGAAAATCCGGGATTCCACCATTGCCGGCAGCCAGCGCTTGGCTCTATCAGGCCTCCAATCACGACTTCACACCATTCGAAAATACACATTTCCACCCTCCAGCGCTGACGCTGCCGCGGCTGAACTTGTGAATCTATATGTCCAAAAGGGGCATAACTATCACGCCTGCCACCGGTTTTTGAAAAAAGCGCCGAACGCGGCGACCTGTGTGTGTCAAACCCTGGACAAAGGGTTTTCCACCACCACTCTTTCTACCCTACATGAGCAGGGGGGCAGAGAGGACTTGCAAGGCTCTGCCCAACGAAGCTCCTTGCAAGATCCTAGGATGCGGAAGCTGATCACTTCCGTGTACCTGCTCGTTCTTTCACAAGCTGTTACTCCACTTTTCCACTTTTTGTTTCATGGTTCTTCACGATTTCCACCCCATAAACATTCGTCCCCAGCAGCTGTGCAGCCGGTTCGCGTTTCCGCCGCTTGCGAGTGCCAACATTGTTCAACACTACTGTTTAAGCTGACCTTTCCACCTTGCTGTTCCATCGCCTTCCTTCCCAACGAGACAATTGCGTTAACTGAAAACCCAAGTTCGAAGTGTGTATGTGTGACAAGTGCTTCCCACGCTCTCGCACTGGGATTCTGAATGTGCCACGGTTGCAAAATCAATGTTCTTTGCTGCCAAATGGCAGCAGCTCCCGACAAAGGCGAAAAAGGATTTAGTGGTGTTCCTTGTGCGCTGCCAAGCTTGGTCACTACCTCGAAGCCATGATGACGTAAGTACTCATTCGTGCTCATGATTTGCGTTCTATGCTAATTCGTCTCTTCTATCTCCGTGCAGCTCCCTGCCTTGGCTTCAAGGTCAAAGCATGCAACAGGGCCTTCGCAAAGACCAAAAGGTCCAGTCTTTGACTCCTCTGCCAAGGGCTGCAGCGATATGCGGGCATCGGTCAACATGTTCTTGACCTGGACTGTTTCGCTCAATCCAAATTTGAGTGAATGTAAAGTTAAAAAGTAATAATTCAATCAATCCGGGAAACCCACGCTCTGGGTTCCACGGAAGGCTACAACAATGGAGACTTCTTCGGCGCTTCTGTCTTCCGTACCTTTGGATTGTCGAATGATGTATGAGCGGCGTCTGAAATGACTTTTGCGAGCTGATTTGGTTCGCACTTCCTGAAGAACTTTGCGACACACCAGGCACTCCATCCTGCACCTCGATTGATCATTTACGTCGGTATTGACATTGAGGCACACAACAGCTTCAACACGCCCTCTAAGCAAATAATACCAGTATCAACCCTTGTCCTCGCTGGTCAGGTTTCCCATCTGTTCTGCCAACCTGAGTTATACTTCTGCGAGGAATTGCGAGGACCTGATCCTGAAATTCTTTTTCATTGACTCTCTGTATCTACATTATTTGCACTTGCCTCTGGCAGAATTGCTAGGCAAATGCGTTCAAAGAGATACATCCAACGTGGGGGTATAATATACATAATTGTATACTCACCTTGAACCTGGCCTGATCCCCGCTCCTCTCTTCTGATCTCAAACAATTCGATCAACAAAAATAAACCATCAAAAATATCGAAACCACGATGGTTGGACAATTCACCTGCGGCACAAAGGTCCTGTAGATGAAAAGTCGTTGGGAACATGTCTCAAGTTTGCCTGGGACCCACAAATGCGTTCAAAGGGAACGGCACGTAAACAATAAATGTTTGAAAGCAACAGTTCCTGATGCCTGAGTCACATGCGAAAAATGAAGGGATATATGTCATGAGATGTCATGAGGGTAATATCAAATTTGAAACACTGCATCACTGATGCATTCATAGCCACATACCTGGACAAAGCGGTGGATAAAGAAAAAGCCGTGTGGCCCAGCAGCCCACAAGGCCTAGACAAGGCTGTGGAAAAAGGGCCGACAACGTGGACAAGCAGGACAAGCAGGACAAGCAGACCCGAACAAGGCCCAGCCAAGCAGGACACACAAAGCCGGACAAGGCGGCGCGGCCAACGGAACAGACAAAGCCTGGACTGGACAGTGACAACGTAAACTGTTTTGGGAACAAGAGGAGAACACAGGGTTTGCCAGTGCGGCCAAAGAACAGCAGGAGGACACCAAGAGGACAAGAAGGGGGCACAGGGCTAGACAAGAAGAGGGCAACAGGAGGACACCACCTGGACACAAGGTTTAAGGGCGTGGCCAGAGACTGTGGCCAGTACTTTCGTAAGGGAACCCCAACAGCAAACTGTTTGGGGAACAACTGCAAGCACCAGGAGGACAAGAAGAAGACACCAGGAAGACAAGAAAAGGACATCAGAAGGACACCACGAGAACGAGAGGAGGACAAGAAGCGGACACCAGGAGGACAAGAGGAGGACAAGACCCGGACACAGGGTTCCGGGGCGTGGCCAGAGACTGTGGCCAGATCTTCTTTTCCTAAGAGAGAAACAAAGTCCACTTTGTACTTGCTCCTAGTAAGGCCAGGAGCCCCTAGTAGCGTCCTTGCTCCTAGTAGCGATCCCCTTTGCTCCTAGTAGCTTCTTTTCCAAACAGCAAACTGTTTGGGGTACGGTACTAAGCTTGTCTTTTCTCTCCACCGGCCCAACAGGCTCAACGGACCCGACGTGCGACTACCAGCCAAGAAGCAACCACTGCACGTCAAGCAAGGGGCAGCCGCCAGAAACAGAATGATGCCGTTTTGCTTCACCAGGACCCGTGGTTATCTTCCTAAGGCAAATAGACTCAGGAAAGATGTGGGCAAATCTATCGGGGTGTCAAGCGTCCGTGCCAAGGAACAGCTTTGCATTGGAAACTGTGCAATCTTTCTCTTCACCTTCCTCACAGGATTTCAAGCCCAAGCGATCAAAGTGCACGTTGCCCAAAGCTGCAATGTTTATGAAGGTCCCAAGCAGCACAAGTCCTTGAAGCCCATCTCACTCCAAACACCTTGAACCTGAACACTTTAGGAAAAGGAAAATTATATCTGATTACAGCGACTACAGGACACTACACGACTACACCGTACCTGCGTCGGTGTTTCTGCACTTTCAGCTTCAGCATAGACCCACCTAGAAGGTCATTTCTTACGTCGGAAGCAATTTCTGACTGTGGGGAGCACCGCTCATCAGAAGAAGTCGACGACGCGGACGAAGTGCTCTTTGTCACCACCTCAACGAGTGAAATCACTGGGCCAGCTGAGCTGAGCCCACAGGGCCTACATATGCCCACATGGCATGACAAATTGCGCCTCCCACACACCGTCAGTGTTCTGGAGAAAGGCCTCAAGAGTTGGTGCGCTCTAGCGCATCGTGATTCTCAACAGCCACTTGCCTGTCGCTCCATGTGTTGTGGCAGGTCTCGCTTGTAGATGGGGAAATCATTCTGGTCACGGCCTTCCTGCACGGCTTGCTGCAAGAAATATGAGCGAAGGAAGGAATGTGATCCTGCTGCAATCCTAGAAAGTAGCTGAATGACCTTACGATAATAGCCTACACCGACACATATTCTCTTGGAGATATGGCCATCTTCCTCACCCTGGCCAAACAGTGCTCCTGTGTGTATTCACCGTTCAACTCTGGATGACCGCAACCGGAGATGACAACAACAGCTGGTACAGGTGCCCCTTGGTAGGTCTCCTCAGGAAGTTTTGGCTGCCAGCAACATGCATTATTCTAATAGCAATGGCCTCCAACCTAGAAGCGATGGCCTCCACCCCAATAGCGATGGCCTCCACCCTAATCGCGAAGTGCTCCACCCTAATAGCGATGGCCATTGCTTCCACGCATTTTAATCTGCAGTGGTCTCATTACGAGTATGTCACTATGTCTCATTCAGCCCAGGTTCCCAGGAAAAGTCGCACAGGTGGAGCGCTAGCAGAACATCAAATTGTTCTCTCGTAGATCTTTCCATTTCATGTTCCTCCACCTTGGCTTGTTCATTCACTTCGGCCATCTTGAACAAGGCAATGCCCTGAGGATGGAACCGGTGTGGGAGCTGGACGCAATGAGAGAGCAATCAAGAGTATCAAGCCACATCGAACCAGCAAGGCCCATGTTGCCAAAAATGCCAATGGATAGCCTGCCATGGTAGCTCGGAAAGGTTTGCAACTTGCCGCAGCTGCAGTCGTGCCTAAAGGCAAGTTCATGATGAGAAGGAAGGGCGGCCGCGTGAGCAGGTAGAAGAGAAGGTATCGAAGCCTCTCCCGACCTTCTTGGAGCATTGTCCGGTTTCATGTAAGTCACATTTCTATACATGTCCATATGCTTGGACATTTGCATTGACATGACATGAACTAAGACGCTGTGTAACAAAAGTGTTTGAAAACTATATAGGTTGTCACACAAACTTGTAGTTTCCCAACAATCTACGAAAAGGATCGAAAAGGTTTGATACAGGATCGTTTGATCAAAAGGAGTTTCTCCCACCCTCGAGCAGAAGAAACTTACAAGTTCCAAGAATCCTTGCTGCATCCGTGCTTCCTTCTTTTTGTGTGTGTGTGTTTTGTTTGTTCGCCCGTACTTACTTGATTAAGTAGGCAGCTACATAATTAAGTAAGGGCTAGCCGCGACTACCTACTGGAAGCAGGATAGCTCGTGCACAATTCATTTGGTTCCTAGATGTTTATGTAGGAAAAAAAGGTAGCGTCTACTACGAAGTCTTACAAAGCCAACTACTACAGTAAGTACTAGACTAGCATAGTCTTACAGTACTACTAGCGAAACCACCCCTCCAGTCTTCACTTCCTACCCGTCTAGACCCCGGCCTGGCGTGCAAGGAAGGTTTTCCAAACAAACCCATTCATCGCGGCAACAAAAGCAGCAGCACTGGCAGTGCCGAGCGCACTTCCTCGAGGCGAGTCCAGTGGACGAAAGAATAGGTGCAGATGGAACGCTGCTCCTGAAGACTCGTGTGACACAATATACAAAGAGTATGACGCGAGCAGAATAGCCTCACCGCCAAAGAAGGCACAATCTGACACCACAAGCAACATAAACTGGAAACACTGCTGCCACCATCAACGTCAGGACAGAACCTACAGTTACCTACACAGTCTACAAAGTGTGAGAGATGCCCCCGTGCTTTCAGTTCTTGCAAGCTCTTGTAATCTTGTAGACAAATTGTCCGGCCTAGAAAGAAAGGAATATCATCAACACTAAGCTGCCTGGCCAGCAGGTATCGTCTCGCAGCGAGCCAGAGACAGAAAATAGCAAGTTCTTCAATGTGTCAAATACCCGAGCATTCGGCTGATCATCCCCAACCCACCATGTGAAGCTCCACAGCAAGACGAGCAGGCTGTAGCTCCAGCCTCTTCCAATCTACCAGGGGCTCATTCTCAATCTGTCAATCTTATCTGGTGCTCGAAGCAAGAAGCTATCAGGAACAATTGCATCGCTACTAGTAACAAGTGCCTTACTACTAGTAACAAGAAGCTACTAGTAACAAGTGCCTTACTAGTAGTAACAAGAAGCTATTAGAAACAAGTGCCTTACTACTAGTAACAAGAAGCTACTAGTAACTTACTAGTAGTAACAAGAAGCTATTAGAAACAAGTGCCTAACTACTAGGAGCAAGAAGCTACTAGGGGCTCCTGGCCTTACTAGTAGTAACAAGAAGCTAGTAGAAACAATAAGCTATCAGGAACAAGTGCATCGCTACTAGTATTAGTAACAAGTGCCTTACTACTAGTAACAAGAAGCTACTAGGGGCACCTGGCCTTACTAGTAGTAACAAGAAGCTAGTAGAAACAATAAGCTATTAGGAACAAGTGCATCGCTACTAGTAACAAGTGCCTTACTACTAGTAACAAGAAGCTACTAGGGGCTCCTGGCCTTACTAGTAGTAACAAGAAGCTAGTAGAAACAATAAGCTATTAGGAACAAGTGCATCGCTACTAGTAACAAGTGCCTTACTACTAGTAACAAGAAGCTACTAGGGGCTCCTGGCCTTACTAGTAGTAACAAGAAGCTAGTAGAAACAATAAGCTATTTGGAACAAGTGCATCGCTACTAGTAACAAGTGCCTTACTACTAGTAACAGAAGCTACTAGGGGCTCCTGGCCTTACTAGTAGTAACAAGAAGCTAGTAGAAACAATAAGCTATTAGGAACAAGTGCATCGCTACTAGTAACAAGTGCCTTACTACTAGTAACAAGAAGCTACTAGGGGCTCCTGGCCTTGCTGGTAGTAACAAGAAGCTAGTAGAAACAATAAGCTATTAGGAACAAGTGCATCGTGCGCTACTAGTAACAAGTGCCTTACTACTAGTAACAAGAAGCTACTAGGGGCTCCTGGCCTTACTAGTAGTAACAAGAAGCTA